TTGCCTGCACACAGATTGTTCTGGAAGGATGGTAGGTTGGCAGTAACAGTGATTGCTTTGGAGAAAGGAGACTGTGGGGCTGGGGTCAGAGAAGGGATAGTTATTTTCACTGTAGCCTTTTTAAAAAAAAATTTAAATTCAAGTTAATTAAAAATTTTCTGTAGCCTTTTGTAAGCTTTGAATTTTTTTTGTTGTTTTTAAGTAAGCACCAACATGTGAGGAGCCCAATGTGAGGCTTAAACTCATAGACCTGAGATCAAGACCAGAGCTGAGAACAAGAGTCAGACCCTTGGGCACCTGGGTGGCTCAGTGGGTTCAAGCCTCTGCCTTGGGCTCAGGTCATGATCCCAGTGTCCTGGGATCGAGCCCTGCATCAGGCTCTAAGGGAGCCTGCTTCCCCTCCTTCTCTCTCTGTCTGCTTGTGATCTCTGTCAAATAAATAAATAAAAATCTTAAAAAAAAAAAAAAGAGTCGGACCCTTAACTGACTGAACCACGTGCCCCTACATTTCACTTTTTTCAAGTGGGACGTGCGGGTTACACAATTACACAACCAGAATATTCCCTCCACATGGAGAAGTGACTAGAAGAAAATGTAGCAAACTACAGAACTGTGTTCCTGAATGTTCCTGTTTCTCCACCATTTCTACAAGCCCAGGTCAATTTGTCATGCCTTTTGCTGCATACATGTTTCTCATGAAACACGTGTTTACATGTGGAGATAGACATCTTATCTGCCTCCCCTGCCTGGTTCCCATGCTCCCCGCATCCTGGCTCCTGATGGCACCGAGTGATGGGAGGACTCAGGGAAGAGGGACCCCCGGGGCTGGAATAACGGGAGAGCCTTTGGGGTCTGGATTAGGGCCAAAGTCCCGGCCTGTGATTGATGTTGCCCAGTGTCCAAAGGATTTGAGCAGAGGATGGTGGTGTGTGGGGGGGTTCAAGGCTGTATTGTGGGGGCTCAAGGGGCCATTGGTGGTAGGAGGGGTGGGTGCCTCTGAGAAGGTCTCAGAGCTGAGAGGTGCGGGCCATCCCCATCGCTGGCTGGGTCAGAAGACTTCCTCGGTTGCCATCCAGCTGTGGGCTCTGCAGAGCACGAAGGAACCTTTGGTGTCAAGGAGGAAGTGGGGCCGGGATTCCCCGGGTGGCTCAGTCAGTTAAGCATATGACTCCTGATTTCAGCTGGGGTCCTGATCTCAGGGTCGTGAGATCAAGCCCCTCAAAGGGTTCTGTGCTGGGCACAGATTCTCTCTCTCTCTCTCCCTCTCCCCTTCTCCACTGTGTGTGTTCTCTGTCTTTCTCTCTCTCAAATAAACACAGAAATCTCAAAAAGCAAATAAATAAATCTCCCGGCTCCCCTATGACATGGGACCATTAGCGTCCTCGCCCAGGTTATGTGTGAGGCCCAGAAAGGTCCCCGGCTGGTAGGTCCACGCTGAGCCTTGTGATTTTTGATCTTTGACTCTGGGGGGTTCTGTGCAGTGCCAGGAAGGGGCTCCCTGCGGGGGGTGCCAGGGTGGGCAAGGCTTGGGGCCAGGCCTGCTGTCACTGCCAGTGACACCTGGGCCTCACTGATACCAGTGAGGTCTCTGCTAGTTGATGTCTGTCTTCCCAATCCTGTAAGCAACACTCCCTTGGAGAAAAGCCACCTTCCAGGATGAAAAATGCAGCCAATAAAGAAAGGCCCCATCCATGCAGCAGGTGACAGGCTGTGGCCGGGCATGCAGGAGGAGCCTGTGGCATGCCTGTCCCGTCATCTGGGCCCCTGTGGCACAGCCAGTTCGGTGCCGGGAGGTAGTGCTGGGATCTGCCTCGGGCCCCCCCCAGCAGGGGTTTGCCTCAGTTCTGCTCAGTCCAGGCCAATATGATTCCTTGAAAACCTCGTGGGCTTCCTGTGTATCAGATTGCAATACTCTCCAGTGGGTAAAATCTGCACAGGCACATGGTTCTGAGACATCCTCTCTCTGTTTGGGGCTCTGGGACATGGCACTTAAGGGTTTTTGGAGACTTCTAGTTAAGCCAGGAGAGTCCAAGTGTTATGATTCTCAGAAGCCTTCCCATCTCGCCGAAAGTTTCGAGCCCAGCCTGAAGGGTTGCTCAGCCCCGTCTGTTACTCCGGACAGTGGCACCTTGGAGATTTTGCTGTGTCCACACCAAAACCTGGCCACAGCGCAGGTATCCCCCAGCAGGAGATGAGTACCTAGACGGTATGGTGGTCCTTCCAGACCGTGGCATAGTTCTCAGCAATAAGAGGGATCACACGACTGACACCCCAACAATAGGAGGCATCTCAAGAGCGTTGCAGCGAGTGGAAAGGCGTCACGGGCACAGAAGGGCACACACGCATTCATACGGAGTTCTAGATGAGGCAACGCGGATCTAAGGCAATGGAGACGGTGGTCCCCCTCGGGAATTGTGGTGGGCACAGGGGGCTACCTGGGGTGACAGCGATGTTCTCTATCTCGGCAGAGCTCACTGTACACAGTGTGTGCATCTGTCAAAACTCAGCTGGTGTCCCCATTACATTTGCACATTTCACTGTTGGTAAATTCTGCCTAAAGAAACCCCGACCAAAAAAACCCCCCCAAAACAAACAAAAAACAACAACAACAAAAAACAACAACAAAAAACAAACCACCAAAAAACAAAAAACCAAAAAAAAAAAAAAAAACCCAAACCCAAACCAAATATCGACCTCTAGCTAATGACGAGCATGTTTAGCGGTGAAGTTGTCTGTCACTGACTTAGAAATGTCTTAAAAACAGCAAGATGGGTTGGTGGCTGGCGAGGGGGACGAGGGGGGCGGGCAGCTGTCCCAGAAAGCTAACGGAGCAAACACAGACAGCGAGCATATGGGCGCTCTCGGCCCCATTCTCGCGGATCTTCTTTATGTTGGAAATGTTCATAATAAAATGTTGGAGGGGAGAAAGAATAAAGAGAGCCTCGCAGTGCCCCGGCCTGCCCGGCACGGCTCCTGCGCGGCTGTTTTGGGCCACCGCAGCAGCGCCATCTGCTTCCTACAGAGCTCAAACCTGATTTAGTCCCAACTTATTAACTTAAAGCCCATTAGAATCTTCCCATCCACCAGTACTCGCAGCCAAGAGCCTGGGGCCTGTTCAGGACACAGCTGGGGTGGGGGGGGAGGGGGGAGAGGGAGCCCCCGCAGGGCGGAGGGAGGGACGCTGCGTGGGCTGCTGTCCATGGACGTGCCGGCGGGGCCGGGCTCAGCAGATCGGGGAGGGACGGGGGTCTCTGCTCCTCCATGTCCACCTTTCGCCAAAGTCGTCTCCTCTAATTCTTGCACAGACCGGGGTGCCCCCTGGGCCCCCTTTTAGAGGTGGAGAAGCCAGCATGTGAGTGGCGAGGTGGGGCTCCCGCTGGGGAAGGAGGCTCTCGGCCACATATGTACCGCGTTTCATGCTCACAGTGGCCCCGGGACACGGGATTATGGAGGCACCCGAGGTCCCAGGGACCACGGCGGCAAAACCTATTTCTGACCGAGGACAGATAGGCCCCTGGAGTTGCCCAGGCGCCGGCCCCAGAGAGGAGAAGGCCCTTGGCTGTCGTCCCCCGGCGAGGACACAGAGTCAGCCCAGCACACCGCCCCTGTCTCTGTGCAAGGACGGCGACGTCAGGCTTGGGAGAAGAGGAGACCCAGCCATCTGGGCTAAAAAGGCAAATCAAATAAACAAGCAAAGCCCATAATTCTCTCCTGAGAGGGCAGAGACATCCATGTGGTGCTGAGCGGGTTGGGATGGGGGGAGGGGGGTGGACACGTAGAGACAGCAGCCAGGGGCCAGGGTCTGCTCAGATTCTCACCGCGACTCTGGGAGGGGAAGCTAGGACAGAGCGGGGAGGCTCCTGTCACACAGCCAAGTCAGGTTGACGGTGTCCCTCCTCGGCCACCCCGTCTGTCCTGTGTGTTATGCCATGCCCGGGACCCCGACAACCCAGGCCTGGAGCTCAAAGGGGTGGCACCCCCTGACCAGGCTCGAGGACCAGGGCCCCCAAGCCATAAGTGGGCTCCCAGGTCTCCACCCCTCAGGACATCCCAGGTCGGCCAGCGGGCTGAGATGAAGGCTCCTGGGGCTGCTGCCGCTGGAGGCGGGCCAGGATGACAGAAACTGCCTGGCCTGGCTCCCAGAGCATTGAGCAGGGAGAGCTCTTCATTATGGCTGCTGTGGGTGAGGTGGGGGTGGGGGTGGGGGAAGCTTGGGGACCCTGGGACCTGCAGGGAGCCCTGACGCCACCCTCCCTGCCGGGTCCAAACCTTTGGCTCCTCTTTCCACCTAGCCCATGCGCCACCTCCCTGTCACCCCAGCCACACCCGGTTTTCCTGTGGCGTCCCCTCCCCCACAGGGAGGCGATTCCTTCCCGAGCTTTACTCACAGAGTTCCCTCTACCTGGAGGGTGCATATGTCATCACAAGCTCCCCTCTACCCCATCAATATCCATTTGTCTGCAAAGGCTCTGGGCCACCGTCCCCTCCTCCCGGGAGCCTCCCCTGAATTTGGTGAGGTAGGGATGACCCGGAGCTCTCACTGGGTATCCAGCATCATAGAACCCTTGCTGCGATGACAGCCTGATTTACAGGTGGGGATGAGGCCCAGAGAGGTGAAGGCATTTGGCGAGCATCACACAGCTAACCTGCTCTCTGTGTCTTGGCACAGGGCTGGGCCTGGGGCGGGCGGGGGTCTCCAGAAGTGAAAGGGGCTGTTCACAAGTGGACTCTTGTCCATGGGGGGCGGGGAGGGCAGAGTGACACCAGCCTGTTCGCGCAGCCCCTACACGCTGTCTCGCGTCCCGCTGCTCTCACGCCCATTTCACAGATGAGAGAAGGATGCCAGGGAGCCCCAGAGGCTGGCCCGGGCTTTCCCAGCCGGCCTCGGCAGAAGGGGCAGAAGCAGGGCTGGAGCCCCGCGCCTGTCTGCACCTCGAGTGGGTACCCTGCTTGCGGCCCCCGGGGCTCCGGGCCACACCTGCACCACACCTGGGCCTTACCTGGGGCTTGCTGCGCTCCGTCGGAGGCCTCTCCGGTGGACTCGGAATTTGCTGGTCGGGCACGCTGTTCGCGGGAGCCTTTGTACTCTCTATTTACAAGAGGAGGCTTGTGAGCAAATTAGCAGGGTAACCAGGGAAAATGTTTGGCTTCCGTGGGTGGGAATTGGAGCCATCTGTTCCCAAGCGCCGAGAAAACACTGGAGCAGTCGCGGGGGGCCATGGGGAGGGCTCCCTAGAGCCCACAGTCTGTGTGTCCCAGGGCGGGGAGTTCACCCTCTCTGGACCTCACTACCTGCCCTCTGTAGAGCCGATGGGGGCTGCACAGCTGCCACAACCTCAGAAGACGGCCCACCCGCCTCCCCTCTCTGCCTGCACACCCCCACCCCCTGTGGTGTAGACGCGGCCCCTCCCAGGCAGAGGAAACACAGGAAGCTGACAGCGAGGACAGCTCCGGCCTTCCCAGCACCAGCTTCTGGGGTTTTATCTACCATTGGATTCGTTTTGTTCCCAGACTGAAAATAGCTTTATTGTTTCCTCTGACTATAAAGATGGTAATTCACCAACCCAGGCAGGTCAGGCGAGTGAGAGGCGCCGCTCCTTGGATGGAGGACATCTGTTGAGGGGGCTACGGGTCTAGACATTTCCGTGAGCTGCTTGCCACGTCTGGGGGCCTCGTGTGCGGTGAGATCACCAACCGGGAGACGGCAGAGAGAGACAGAGGGGGGCCACCTCACCCAGGACCCTTTGGTTCCTCATCAAGGTCCCTGGAGACTGTCCCCCGACGCCTTGTCCTTTCCTCCGCTCGGGTGAGCAGAAAGCTTGAGTTTGAGCCTCGTCATCAGACAAATTTGAGTCCAGCCCGGGGCCTTCTGCCTCCTAGCCGTGGGACCGCTGAGCAGGGCTCACTTGCCTCATTGGCCAAGAGGAGGTCCCGACAGTGGCTGCATCACAGGATCGTTGCTAATGACGTGAATGACACGTGCCGACCGTCGAGCCCGCTGGCCCTGAGGTCAGTGCACGGTGGCCCTGAGCCACGCTTGGCAGGATCAGCAGTAAAGTACCCGGGGCGTCTTGCCAGGCGTGACTCTAGATGCTCTGGGCTCTGTGCCCGGTGTGCAGGGTTTCACGGTGAGGCTGGACCGCCCAGCCTGAGGTCCGTGCAGGTGGCTCTCTGCAGGCCGCCCGGTGCAAGGAACAGCTCAGGCTGCAGACGCACGTGGAAGAACAGGTGGTGTGCCTTGTTGGGCGGTGGGGGATGCTTTTCGTCCCACAGTTCCAGAACATCCAGGCAATCCGGTGGGGGGATTAGCAGCCCGGGCAGGCCTGAGCAGGAACCCCTGCAGGGCAGGGCAGGAGAGGAGCGGGGGGGCCCCCAGAATACTTAGGGCGTGCGGGCCTGGGTGCTGGGGGCCGATGCAGGAGGGGTCTCCACCAGGGACAGGGATCCTCAGCCTGCGTACAACCAGAGCGTCGGGGTCTGCAGGTGTGTTCGGCATCTGGAGGTCAAGCTGTCCTCCAGGCTGGGAAGGTGGCTGGATGGGGCCCTTGGGGGGCGGTGGGCACAGTACCCATGTCCCTGCACCCTGTGAGATTTAGTGAGGGAACATTCTAGATGCTTCAGCTCTGCCTTCTCAGCTCCCCCAGATCCTGCCAAAGGGACGCTGCCAAGCGTCCCCACGCTGGTTCCCTATCTGAGCAGTCCCAAGCCCCCTACTGGGGCTCTGCGGGGACGTTTTCCCTGATGACAGGCTATGTGGCTGGCGTGCAGCCCCGGAATGAGGGTGACCAAGGGGTGTGCAGGCGTGGAGTGTGAGGATAGAACTTGGCCTCGAAGGCTGGGATGTCCATACTTCTGCGCGTGTGACGTTTCACCGGGAGCAACGGGGCTGGCAGGGGTGGAGAAGAAGGGAGGTAGTGGACTGGGGTTGGCTAAGATGGGGGACGAGAAGTCAGAGGTCGGCAGTGTCATTGCCTGCCCCCGCCCCAACCCCATGTCCTGGAAGGGAGCCCAGTTCACGCCAGGTTGTTAGAGGGTGTGAGACAGAACACATTTGTTCAACATGTTTGCTTGATTTATACCCACACGGGTGGGCAAGGGGGTGTGTGTGTGTGTGTCTTCTGTTTGACCTTTGACCCAGTCCCTGCAAATTCAGGGACAGGCCTGAGCCCACGTTCCAGATGGGATACCTTTGTTCACGTGGTTGGATCCCCCCTCAGAAGCCTTCCTGAGCTGTCAGATGCTGCCAATGCCTGTGGTCGTTATAATCAATCACGGGCTGTGGGGTTAGAAGGCGGGGCGGTCCGGAGGCCCAGAGTGTTCGCTCTGGGGTCTCCTGCCTGTTCTCCAGGGGCGGGCCAACACTCAGAAGAAACGCAGCGCTGCTGGAAGGCAGCTCTTTCGTCCCTGGAAGGAGCTTAGCTTGGCTGTATTTTCCTAATCCCCTTGGAGGATTAAAGAAACTCGGTCCTTGTCCCTTGATAATGCCATTTAAGGATTTACAGATCTCAGACTCTCCCCAGAGAAAGCCCAGACGACTTTGTTCTCCGCTTGCTGAGTGACCTTGATCTGGGGCTCTGCTCCTCGTCCTGTGAAGGAAAGAGGTTGGCAGTGGTCAGTGGCCCCTGGAATGTCCAGTGTCTAAGGGGGTGGACTGTGGTTGCCGTAGTTAGTGCTGGTTCGAATAGCTTCCTCATGCCATCCCACTCCCCAGCCTCTGTGGGGGAGGTAGGGCTGTCGGGCACGAGGCAGAAGGCCGCTCTCAGGACAGCATCCATGGGAACTCAGCGGTTGGTCAGGCATGGGCGCATGGCTTGTGCACGGCCCCCCAGAGCCTTCCTCAGAACTGTGGCTGGATTGAGCTCGTGGGCTTCCCCTGTGGGTTCTCCTGACTTGGGAAGCTAAGATCAAGCTGTCTGCTATGTGCCAAGCATTGACATGCAGAAGGTGAAGTTCAGGATGACAAGCAAAGGAGAGAGAGGCAAAGCCCTGGCCATGCTGTAACCCTGGATCTAGCCTTATCTGATACCTACTCTATGCGCCAGTAAATTCCCTTTCTGGTAGAAAGCTGTTCCAGCTGGTGTTCCTGCTGCTTGGGATTGGAAGAGATGGGGATGCGCCTAATGCCAGGAGGAGGAACACTTGGATTTCATCAGATCCTCAGTGAGGCCCCCGCTTTGTCCCAAAGACCAAGAAGCCTCCAGGGAGATTTCTTCCAGCTCTGGAGGCCCACACATCTCAGCAGCACTGATAGGATAGCCATGGTGGGTTCATCATCAGACTACACAGAACGTCTTCCTGTGTTTGCCTTTCGGCCCCCTCCAGTCTGCTATGTGCCCAGGGAGGCTGCCCTGTAGGTGCCACACCAGCAGGGTCCCTCCCTCGGCTCCTTGTTGGGTTTGGTCAGTGAAAGTCACCGACGAGAGACTAGAGAGAGGGAGGAGGGTGGGCTCAGGGCATGTCTTTGCTGATTCCCATCTGGGGACCTCGGCTGGCGGCTTCTCTGGTCCCGGTATCGTGGCCTCCCAAGGCCCCTCTCTGCGTGACCCTCTCCTTCCAGGCTTCAGTAACTGATGCTTCCCTGACTCCTGGGTTTGGGGGCAGCTGCTCGGGTCTCTGTCCCTGCTCTTGGAGACGAATCGTCCTGGAATTAACCCAATCTGAGTGTGCCATCTGTTCTCTCTGGGGGTCCGGGTGACACGCAAGCCGTGAACACCACACAGGATTGGTTGAAACGTGGCGGCTCTGGATGGAGCAGCAAGGGGGGGCGGCAGGGGTCAAGGGGCCAGTAACGGGCCCACGGTGGGTCTCGCACAAGCCACGTGCCTCTGGCACTCTGCTTCCCCATGTGAGGGGCCAAGACTCCCCAGATAGCCGGGTCCCAGACAGCGCATCGCGGGCTCACAAGCTGGCGTCTCATATAATTTACCAACCATCAAATGGTCACAACAGCGCTGGATGTGATGACACGCAGTGACAGTGACGTGAGGGAAGAGCCCCGCCCAGCCCTTGCTCAGGGGAGCATGACATGCTGTGGCCGTTTTGGAAAGTGGGGTGCTGGCTCAGTGATCTAGTGCGGCCTCCCCAAAACCGAGGCTGAGGCAATGGCAGTCACTCATTCTGCTCACGGACCTGGAAGCGAACCGGGCTCAGCTGGGCGGTTCTCACTCTGCGTCTCAAGTGCGGTCTGTCCCGTGCTGAAGGTGGCTTTTCCCCTCATGGGTCTGCTGCCTGGGCCACGGCTCAAAGCGCAGGGAATGGAGCTGCCGTGGCTTCCTCGCCACACCGCTCCCCTCCGAATGATGCCCTCATACGTGGTGGCACGTCGTGGCTTAAATTGTGGCCACCAAAAGTACGCCTAAGTCCTAAGCCCCAGTGCTGGTGAACGTGACCTTGTTTGGAAATAGGGTCTCCGCACAGGTTAAGAGGAGGGCCGGATGGATTGACGTGGGCCCTATTCCAATGACCAGTGTCCTCAGAAGCAGAGGGAGATGAGGCTACAAGCCAAGGAATGCCCAGGATCGCCAGCTTTCAGCGGGAGCTGGGAGGGAGCCCGGAGCAGACCTGCCTCTGGCCCCTGCAAGATGCGGGCAGGGATGACCTCTCTTGAGGCCTCTCTCCTTGGCATGTAGGTGGCCGTCTTCTCCCATGTCCCCACGTGGCTGTCCCTCTATGCTTGTCTGTGCCCTGAAAGTCTCCTCTTCTAAGGACACTAGTCCCACTGCATTAGGGGCCCCCCTCAGGACCTCATTTTACCTTAATCCCCCTTTAAAGACCCTGTCTCCGAAGACACATTTTGAGACCCTGAGGGTTTTGGAATGCATCATTAATTTGGGGGTTGCCGTTCAGCCCACAGGATGCTCTGAGTTGTCAGTGTGTGGTACGTGTTGCTGAAGTCACAGGAGCCGGGTCCTCAGCAACTCCAGTCTCCCGAGCACCTTTCCCGAGAGACCCAGTCACCGCTGCCTTGTTCTGTCCACAGTGGGTTTGCAGACGCCCTCTGACCCCCGCTGAGGGAGGCGTGGGCTGGGAGGAGAGGCGAAGGTAAGAAAGAAAAGAGGGAGATGGAAAGTGACTGGAAATCAAGGTTCGACCCCATGCACCCGTGAAACGTTGCACACACTGTGATGTTCGGGGGACCGTGTGTCGCTTTGTGAGGTCCGAGTGAGACCGTGTAATAAATATTCATGGGGACAAAGAACTCCGCCCTTAGCCAAAGTTTCGCCTCTGAGCTCTTGAACATCTGTCTGTGGAACCTGGGGACATGGAGGATTCGGACGTGTGGCCGACCACACACCCTAAGGCATCACGGTCTCCCGCTCCCCGGCC